TCTGTATGGCAGGAGCTGATGTGGTCTGAGGTTGAACATAGTTCGACTTGCCTTTTCCATCTCCTGGCTTTCCTCCTTTTCCATCATCATCCTTGCCTTTCTTGCCTTTCTTTCCTTTTCCTTTTCCTTTTCCTTTCTTCTGGAAGTATCCATACTCATCCATGTAGTACAGATCATCATAGGCCCAATAGCCTTCATTCCAGGTTTGATCATCGGCCCAATAGCCGTCATAGTTTTCATTCCATTCATCTTCTTGCCATTCATCTTCATAACCTTCTTCACTCACCATGTGAGCACGGCCTTTCCTTCTTCCTTTTCCTCGGCCTTTTCCTTTTCTTGATCTGAAGAACCTTCGTCCTCCTCTGCCTTTTCCTTTTCCTTTTCTCTTTCCTTTACCTTTGCCTCGTCTGATGTATTTGCCTTGGAACCTTCTCTGATACCATGTGAAGTTGGCGTCATCATAAACCCAGAAAACATCTTCTAAAGCATCCAGGAATCCTTCTGCGCCGTCTTCTTCTTCGGCCCAATAGCCGTCGGTTCCTTCTAATTCACCTTCATCCAGTACGAGGAAAGATCTTCTCTGTGCCATGCCAGAGGGTTGCATCAATGGATTGTCAACTGCTGTTTTGGTAGTGCAAAACATTTCCAAAAACAGGTCACGTAGTTCTTGAATACTGTATCGATCGAGGGTTCGTCCACGATGTGTCATGATACTTGTGAGTGTGTTTCTCTGATCTTGACTCAGGTCAGCTAGACTTACAAAAATCAATGCTAGCAAATTTTCACCCAGTGGGAATGCTTGTCGCTGTGCTTCTCTACGATTTTCCTGAAATTGTCTGAATGCCGCTAGTGCCAGTTCATCTGTCCAATGAACAGCTACATGGGGTGTTCCTGAGGCTGCTGCTACTTCAGCTCTCTCTTGTTGATCTCTTTCATGTTCTTGACGTCGTTGTTGAACAAACAGGATTGCTTCAGGACTAGTCACTGTTACTTCTGGAAGTAAATCCATCCAAGACTCAATAAGTCTATTGCCAGTGAGTTGAAATCTAGTCATCCACTTCTGAAGATCCATGGTTCCTCTGTTGAACTTCATGAACTGCATGAAACGGTATAAGAACACGTTCTGGGCACCTTTGATGAAATGAGGTCGTAGAAATCTTTTGAAATAGTGCACTCCTTCATGGGGATCCCTGAGTAGTTCTCTATCCAATAGCCTCTTGTATTGTTGAGCATCTCCTTCCAGTCTGTTGCGCAATGCTGGACCACGTTTCTCTGGTTCTAACTCCGTAATGTCACACCAGTCATCAATTGCATCCTCAAAAGCAAAGAAGCTGGTTCGCCCATCATAGGCTGGAGCAACCTTTGTGGTCATCTGTTGCGTCATATGAATCTGTGTATGCTGGGGTGCTCTTCTCATTGCATAAGAGTCATATTGGTTCCATTCATTTGCATCGACAATGTCGAAGTCATCATCATCATAGCCATGGCTTGCCATTTCTTGGGCTCTACCTGGAGCTCACCCTCAATGAGGGATCACTGCTCCGCTACCACTTGAAGAGGGGCCCTAGCGTCTACTTCAAGATCAGCTAAGGCGTCTTCCCCAATGACAGCACTTGTTTTACTCAGCCTGTTGCCGGTCCGTGCTTGTCTACAGGGTTACTCTATATACCTCTTTCTTGAGCCTTGAAGGCGCATATAAATGTGCTCAATACTCATGCATGTACCTATGTAGGTATTAGGTCGAAACAAAAACAGGGCCCCCCCCCCCTTTGAAAGGCGGACCGAGACATAACCGGCCCAAACTCTTGCACTTGCACCGCTCGCCCCCTAATACTTGCTACGCAAGGGGGAACTCAGGTAGCTCACCGCTACCTTTCGAGACATGGTGGCTGATGGTGTGTGTTTCACAACATGTACCCGTGGATGACCCTCTGTAGAAGTGCAACCCCTGGTGAGAAAATAGATGATGTCCAACACATAGTGACCCTTACGATTCGCCTTCAACTGGTAGATTACGGGATTTTCTTCACTAGAATCCAAAGCCATGCCAGTCATGAAGTCAATGGTCATAGATGAGTGAGGTCCAGATAGGTGATCCATACCGATGAGAATGGGAACCAAAGTAGATTTGTCAAAGTCCGGTCTATGAAGTTCTGAAGGATTTGGAAGTGCATACAAACAAAAACTTCGCTGAATACCGCTGACCTTTGAGGAAATAACAACTTTGTATAGTGCCCTACCCCACCGACCATTGCCAAAGCGAAAATAAGGGCGATCGGACTGGCGGACTTCAATCTCAGCTTGTCGGTCTGCCGCAAGTACGGCAGCCACCAAATTCTCTACAGCTATCTGAGGGCCAGCTGATGCTGTAGCTCCTGAATCTAGAAGACCATGAGTGCTAGGCAAACATTCTGTGCTGCTGGCCTGCACCTCATTGGCACTACTGAGAAGCTCGAGACCACCAAAGAAGACTTCCGAGTGATAGGAGTTCACTGGTGGGCGAAGGGCTTGACCCTTGCCTTGTTGAGAAGGACGTGGACCCTTCCCTTTCATCCAAGCCTGTGCTTCAAGCCAGTGATTGTTCTTACCTTTCTTGCCCTTCACGCGACCAGCATAGAGGTCTTCATGGAAATAGGGGACACTGTCGTCATATTCAGACATGTAGGACTGCTTGCCCTTGAATTTGCCTTTCATCATGCTTGGATGGCGTCGATCAGGACAATCCTTGGCCATATGTGGCCCATTGCAAATCCAGCAGCCCTTTCCCTTTTGGCCAGGCAAGGAAGGATGCTGACCAAAGCCCCGGTCTTTCCTCAGAGCAGCTGTGGCACGTTGTGCCTCTGACCAAGTGCGCTGAGCCTCCAAGGCAAGTGACTCCGCAACGCGTTCAGCCTGTTGAGCTTCCTTGATGGCAGGGTCCTCAGCGTCAGCTGAAGAAGGTTCTTCAGGCTGTTCAGCCACATAGCTTTCGGACCAATCCCAGTAAGGATCATGCCATGAGCTCCAATCTTCGGCATACTGTGCATCTTCCCACTGCCAGGAATCAGCCTCATCCATCTCGGCCGCATAGGTCTCCTGAAAGTTGGAATGATGCACTTGAGCACGTTGTCCAGCAAATTGTTCATCCCAAAGCGTTTGAAGTGCCTTGGTCACTTGGTCAAACTCCAAGGAACCACGTGTGGAGGACAAGATCACACGTCGTTCTTCTGGTGTCAATCCAGCAGCCTGCAAAACTCGGAATCCTCGCAAAACACCTAGCACAAAGGAGTCAGCAAAGGTCAGCTCGTTGACCTCGTCATCATCAAAGAAAGACGGCTGAACACCTGCCGAACGTCGGCTTGCAGCTGGGGATTCTTGAGGAATACGGCTATAGGTTCCTGCAGGTGAACCACTGTCAGCCATGGGAGAAGTTCCGACTCCACGCTCCATGGTGGGCACGGCATCATAATCACGGTGCCATGACCATCCAGCTTCAGGAAAATCTTCATCTCGTTCCCACGTTGACCATTCATCATACTGAGGAGCTGGTGGAAGACCAAAATCTGAGTCTTCAGGACGCAGTCCCTTCTTTTCTTCAGCCAATCTCACCAACGATTCTACAAACTCAGTATAGCCCAAAGACTCTCTCACCAAGAATGTGGTCATAGGCTCATTGACCTTCCTTCGGAAGTCAAAGTACTGAGCACAAATTGCAGATGCGTTGGGAAGCGACTGACGAACAAGAGGACTCACTGCGAGTCGCTGCAGCAGGGTCTTTGTCCCGTTGTAGTCATCCAGCGCCATATCGGTCCATGACATCGCCAAAAGTCTGGCGGAGCCGGTAAGCCGGCTGAGTAGTTTGGTCGCCACATAGCGTCTCTTGTGGGACGGCGTGGCACGAAAGTACCAGGCAACTTCCCTGGTGTACCTTCTCCATGTTCTAGCTGTTCCATCCCAGCTAGGTATCACATCCCTTCCTTCAGAAGACATGATTGTAGAAAAAGAACAAGTCAAAGGAGAAGTTCTGGAGAAACAAGAAAAGTTCAGGAATGCCCCTAGGTTCTTGCCGTACTTATACTCTTGATTCAACACAAAGACAATGACGTGCAAGGTGAACAGAATCAACCAGTAGAGCTAGTAGTTTACAAACTCCCTGATAGTGTCAATGTTCTCCAAGCTCAATGCACAAACAGTCGCCAAATGAAAAGGGGCAAGAGTTCGCAAGAACTGCCTGACTTGTAGCCGAAGGTGATCAGAACCTCTGGCTCCCCAATCTTGTAGTCGCAGCAGGCCCCAGATGGAGTCCTGCCCCGCTACCAATGTAGCGGTGGTAGCACAATGGAGCAAATGATTGGGCTCACGATCGTTCAAATGGAAATTCACACGCAAGAAGGCCTCAGCAGCCTTTTTATGCCACAGCACCGACAGCCGCAATGGCTGGTTTGGATTAGATCCTGAAAAGGGGCCCCTGAGCATCAAGGAGCGGCAAAAGACAATGGATGGGACATGTCTGACTGAAATGTATGAGTGAATTGAAGCTCATGCTGAAATTGTTGCACATTCCTAGTTCAACGCGTGCAAATTTGGACTTGAAATTTGTCTCCTCCCTTCCATTCACGGGTGTTTTCAAAATCAAACTTGCTTCCACATTCGCAAAACTGCAGGATACTGAGGGCATCGAGCACTACCCAGTGAGCTGACCAGAAGCTGCCAGAAGCTCACTCATACCACAGAACGCTAGGCTTGACCCGCAAGAAACCCTTCTGTTTTTTGAGAGCGTCACCAAGGGCCCATCATTTTTTTACTGTAATTTAGTTGTTTTTTAATAGTTGATGTTGTCTATATTCACAGTATCGTAGCAGTATGTTGTTTTCTTAATGATGTTTCTGTGTTCATTTTGTTTACTTTGTTCCTGGGACTAATGGTAAAACAATATTAATATAAACGTATAATCTAGAACAAAATGCAGCATTTCCGGAAGCGCGGCAAAATGGGGCCCCTATTTGTTTGTTTTTTCTGTACTAGTAATCTGGTGGCAACATGTTGTAGCCTGTCTGTTGGAGCCAAGAATCCCATCGGCTCAGGGTGCCATCAATAGCACCACTAAAGAGACTTCGTGAAACACTGTCCCACTGCAGACACAGCTGCACATCCTGCCGACTTGGAAAGTGGCTGGAAATTCCACTTGCAATCTTCAGATGTTCTTCAGATGTTCCTGTGCTTCGATAAATCTCAGTGACTCATTTAGAAACTTGATGAGTCTTCGGAACTTCGTGAGATGTTTTGGACATATCCAAAAAACATCCAGACCATCTCCGTACCAAACGCGTTCCACGACGCCTACGACGAGTACTTACCGCACCTTTGCTGCCAGGCGATTCCGAAGCTGAAGATGGGAATCCCAGAAGCAGATGGTCATGTCCTCAGTCGCAACCACCGTCCCCAGTGAAATGAGATTTAAGCCATAAATGGAATAGGTGTATATATGATCATATATGATCATATATGATCATATATGTATATAGATAATTATAGATAATTATATAGATATATACATTAGATAATAAATATGCATGCAAATGCTTTAACATATACTAACCAGATTCAATAGCTAAAAAATCAGAAATCCTGCCTGCTCTGCTGCGAGTTTCTGCTGCAGTGGTGGCGATTTGACTCCACGCATCTACATAGCAGCAATTGATGACCTTCAGAACAACGCCATGGACAGAGATGGGAGATGGACATGAAATTCAGGGAGAAAATGCATCCTAGATTGATTGGCCCTCACTGCGATTCCCAAAATCCCATAAAAATTGGAACACCAATGACCTGTATCTAGGACCAGGGGAGTGGCCGTCACTGCCCAATGACCTGTTGAAGTGCATTGCAGAATGGCGATGACGGTACCCTTCGTGCCAACGAAGCCAACTACTTACAAACCCTGCGCTCTGTCCAGCCCCGTCTTACTCCAAGAGACAGTACCACGATGTCCAGGGACGGTATCCTTCAGAATACACCGTTTGGGGTCGTAAAGGCGAAAATTCCGACTGCCACGCGACAGACAGACCTTAGACGACATAGATAGATAGAGACCGCTTGTTCTGAAAGTGTCAAAAGAAACTCAGATGGCAGTGTGTCAAAACCTTGTACCCCTGGTGAACATCAAAATAGCTGGTAAATGGATGTTCATCCCCCTAAGAATGGTATTAATAGGTATTGATCCATACCCAGATAGATAGATAGATAGATAGACATAGATAGATAGATAGATAGATAGACATAGATAGATAGATAGATAGACATAGATAGACATAGATAGACATAGATAGACATAGATAGACATAGATAGACATAGATAGACATAGATAGACATAGATAGACATAGATAGACATAGATAGACATAGATAGACATAGATAGACATAGATAGACATAGAAAGACATAAATAGACATAGATAGACATAGATAGATGTAGATAGATATAGATAAACATAGATAGATAAAGATCGATAAAGATCGATACAGATAGATATTGATAGATATTGATAGATATTGATACATACAGATATGATAGATATTGATAGATACAGACAGAGAAAGATAGATATAGATATAGATCGATATAGATAGGTACATATAGGTATTGATAGGTACAGATAGATATAGATAGATATAGATAGATGCAGATAGATGTAGATAGACATGGATAGATATATCTATCTAAGATATAGATAGTTTCTAGATTTACATAGTTTCTAGATATAGATAGATAGATAGATAGACAGATAGATAGATAGATAGATGGATACATAGATATAGATATAGATAGATATAGATAGATATAGATAGATATAGATAGGTATAGATAGGTATAGATAGATATAGATAGATATAGATAGATATAGATAGATATAGATAGATATAGATATAGATAGATATAGATAGATATAGATATAGATAGATATAGATCGATAAATCGATAGATGGATAGATTAGATCGATATATTAGATCGATAGATTAGATCGATAGATAGGTAGATAGGTGGGTAGGTAGATACGTTGATAGGTCGATAGGTAGATACGTTGATAGGTCGATAGGTAGATAGGTAGATTATATACATCTCTGATTCTCCAATTTATCTGCTGAGACCAACTCTGCGTCAAAGTGTCCGGTACTTAGGAATCTGTCCTTTTCATGATCCGTCATTTCTTTCTTACATTTACATCATTTACAATGGCTCGGCTCATCATGGCTTGTCGCAAAGGACTTGTCACCAATGCAGCCAAGCAAACCAAGGAATCGATTTGTTCCAAGTAGACCAACTTCTCCACCGGCGTCTCCTTGTGGCGCTGGCACGATAGGATGGACAGCAGATCTTGACTTTAAAAAAACCTACGACCACTTCCATTTTTGCTACCCAGGAGCATGTTTGGAAACGTCTTTCACTTGACTCACTTCATAGGTCTTTATGCTGTCAACAGTGAACTCGTCACCACCTTAGCCGTGCAAATTCTGACACAATCGCGTGCCACCGCCGCGGAACAATTACCAAGTGATTAGCGATCGAAAATGGCATGCAACATGCAGCATGTAATGACCTCCTGCTTCAAACTTATGGTAGCTTTGACCTCGCTCTGTCACTCCAGTCGTTTGCCAAGAAGCCTGACATCCCTTGCTCGATGAAATAATTGGACACATCTTCCCAAGTCACAGAGCTTTCTCCGTGAACATCCACGTGGGAAAATAAGTCCTCACAGGGCGAAGGCAACAACATCTGGGAGTCATGATTCCAACATTATTCCAACCAGATTGAAGTCATCTGAAGGTTCAAGCTCTTCTCCGTTCGAATTCGTTCATCACTGCCCAGCTGTCCATCACTGCAGCTGCTCGTATTGACGCACTCCGCATGGGCGAGGCACTCTCCTGTCAACATCACCGGGACGCCCCAAACGGCCCCTATCAACGATTGGCTGGACACCGATATCAAAAGAACTCGTACCCTCTGGTTATGTCAAAATAGCTATTGAAAATGGCCATAGAAATAGTGGATTTTCCCATTAAAAATGGTGATTTTCCATTGCTATGTTAGTTTACCAGAGGGTAACACAGAGGAACTCGGACAGCCGCCCAGGCCTGTGTTGTTGACACTTGGGATTTGCCGCTCCCACCATCCAGATTCCTGGCCAAATGTGTGTGCTGGTTCCAACAGTGAAGCAAGCAGGAAACAGCTTCGGACAGATCATGACAAACTCTGTCGAAAATTCACACTTGCCTCATGAATGAATGATAGTTACTGATAGTTTTCAAGAAAACCCTCGAAAGCAGATGCCCTGGAAACCTCAACATCGCCCGAACAAACTGCTCGCCGTTCAACGCACCGCCATTCTCGACGAATTCTGCCTGAGCTCGTGGATACATTGCAGCAAAACCTTGTCATGCAATGGCAGCCTGGCGAGATTTGTCCTCAACATTCTCCCAGAACTGTCTATTTAGACATCTAAAAAGGAATCTGCTAGAAATCTCTATCCAAATCTGCCATACCTACATCTCAAGACCAACATTTTGGACTCTCCGCCTTGACATTCTCCAGTACGTCTGCAGAGAGGTCTGTGAGCACATGTGTCTCAGGCAAGGCATGACCTCCTTTTTTCTCCGCCTGGTCCAATGAGTTCGTCGAGTCGTGGAAAGTTCGTTCGAGCACCAGACATGTCACCAGACATGGGGATGGGTCAAAACCCTGGTACCGTGCCGTGAACCCCAAGTCATAGCTGGGATTTATGGATGTGAATAACCCACTAAAAATGTATCTATAGGTATTGACCCATACCCACATGTCACGTGAAAATTTTCGGGCAGATCCCACCCAGCGACCTCCACCGGGGCTTCAGTGGCTCCTTTTCTGCTGGCGATGCTTTGCGGCCTTGGTCGAGCTGGCGAAAATGATCGGTTTGCCATGGCCTTTGAACTGTGAAATGTTTGATTTTTATTTTCTTTGTGGAGCTTTCATATATCCCTATTGGACAACGTTTTTCCTCGAAACGCTGAATTCCAGCCTGCAGGACTCCCTTGCCAAGTATTTAACAAATTTGACAAAATATTCCTGTTTGATCGATTGGAACAAAAAGCAAAAAATAATGCTCTAACAGACTCATCTCGTCCCAGGTGTGACAGTCGCACTGGGTCCATGGGCCGATCCTCACGCGCCTGAAACGGTGCAACAGCCGGGAATTTCATCGTGTCCAACAGCAGTTCAGCATTGAATGTAGATGTTCATCATCAAAATTGGTATCTTGAAATCCTAACACCTTTCTCCTGTTCTATCTATACCAATCCAGACTGCACCTGCTCTTGCAGAGTAGGCAAATACGAATGTTTTGAAGGCGACAGCGACCCGCGATGTGCCGTTGACGGGATGCGCAAAGAACGCAACTCGGCATCCTCTCACAGGCTGAGCGGCTGGGTGCTGAGTTGCCCCGTTTGGAAAGATTCGCGACTCGAGATGACTGGTCTGTGATTTTTTTCATTTTTTAGATTCAGGACAGTACCTTCACATAAAATGTCCACGATATTTTATGAAAATATATGATCAAAATTGATGCAAACCACCTTCAGGAGCAAACATTCCAATATAATTCTTTGCAATTGTTTAAAACCCAAAAGTCAAAAACAGGTCCGGCCTCTAACACCATCGCCTTTTTCCGTCCCGGTCGAAGATCTTGTGCCATGACAATGACCTCCATTGTCAAACTAGACCAGTCCAACTCAAAGGTTTTTTCCCAGTTAGCCAGTTATTCAAAATTTGACACAAAAATACAGGTCATGTTAAGTGGTGATTTGTGTTGACTATTGTTGTTGTTGTTGTTGTTGTTGTTGTGTCGTCACCGTCCGCCAAAGAACCGGTTCCAATTTGTGGATTCATGACTTGCATACACTGTCAGTTTCTCATCCACTTTTAATCTCCCAAGGTTCCCCGAGCCTCTTCCCGCCTATGGCGCTATACCAAACATCGAAGACTTTGGGTTGCCATGTGAATCCACGCGATACCCAGTGGGTTCAAGGTTTCAAACAATTTGCAAGCGCACTGGGAAATGTGTAAATAGCAAATTACTTCAAGCTAAACAAATTGACAACGGGGTACAAACTCACCTGCGTTGTTTTTGATTGAAGTAAAAAGATTCACCATTGTGTTTCACTCACATGCAGATTCACCCGTTCACACATCAGCTATCATTTGAAAATCACAAAGGGTGCTGGACAGAAAAATGGTACTATGGTATGATAATTACAAAATGTTGGTTTCATGGATATCAAAAACCAAACATGTTTCCAAGAGGAAATATGTTTTGTCTTTGAACCAAAGAGCAATTGCGGTCACAAACACATCTCATAGAAACATGGTGTGACAACTGTGTCAATCCTACAACATTTTATTTTCTTACACCAACATTCCATGTTGCGCGTTTTTTTGGACATCAAAACCATGAATTGGCATTCACATGTTTTATGTATTTTTGGATCGTTCGATCCCCCTTTTCCTCTGCGGTTTTGGGTGTAAGTGATTGATTTCAACATTTCCGCCTGTGTTCAGCCTGTGGTCGTCCAAGTGTTAATTAAAATAATGGTATCAAGTATACATGTACAAGTTGTATGCCCATTTTGCGACGTCACATCATAACTATCAAATATCCTGTTTTGAACACCCCTGTTCTGTAAATCAACACGGTCGTAGGCCACAGCGTCTTATCTTATCAAGTTTGTTTTTTCCACTGCATTCTGCGCATGGGAAGTTCAAAAAAAAGGCACTAAAACATGTGTTGCTAATGAAGGTGGTCGGATCGTTGGTTTTTCTCGCCAAAGAACGGTTCGTGGTAATCGTCTCCGTCAGTTTTTGCCAATATTTTACTACATATGTATAGCATCTGATGTAATTCGATCGTGACAATTTATTTTTTTCATCGCCAAAACGCTTTCAAACAAGTGCATGCATTCTCTTTCTTTTTCCACTTGGGATGGAATCCCAGCCAGGTTTAAGGCTGTAGGGCTTGGCACTGTCTGGAGGTGAAAGGGGCGGAAGGAGGGTCATTGAAAAAGGAGCGAGCGAAATGCAAGCCCACCCTCCCTCCTCTTGAGAGGAAAGCTTGCATCACAAGCGAGATGCATTTGTCTTCAGAAGACATTGTCAAACATGACAAAACGTTTCATCGCCAAAACGCTTTCAAACAAGTGCATGCATTCTCTTTCTTTTTCCACTTGGGATGGAATCGCAGCCAGGTTTCCCCATTTGAGGTAAATGCGATACCAAATCCCACATAATCTCTGTCGCCTCTTCAGAGACATCTAGAGCACCAGAAAGCAAACGTCCATCAGTTTCGCCTCTCGAAGGCGCATCAGCAACATTGCAATGTGAAGGTACTCTGGCAGGCCATATGAATGCATGCAACTTTGATTCCAGCTCTACGAACCTCTCCGCAAGGGAGTCCACAACTTTGTTTTCTGAAACACCACGAAGAAAGGAGAACTTTGTTCCTTCGTTGTCAACAAATAGGACACACCTCCTGTTCTCAAACCGTCGCGACCAAAGCTGAAAAGCAATCACTGCAGCTAGCGTTTCTGTTTCAAAGATAATTTGCTTCCTGCACAGTTCGCCCAACGCCTCTCTGGCCTGGGCATTCAACTGCAAAGAGAAGAACTGAACTTCCATCTGGAAAAAGAAAACGCCACCAAGCCCGCAAGGCCATGAAGCACTATCTCTCTCATAACAGGCATCCGTGAATATGACCATGTTATGATCATCCAACGACCTGATCTCGCGGGGAGTGTTCTGTTTCAGAAGGGTCGCAAAAAGATTGATGAACAGTCGGTCTTTGGGCAACAGTTGAAAACGTCGCCCCTCCGCAAAATCACCAAAGGCCTTCAGGCATCTCTTGCCTGTACGGCCAAAGAGCTGGCCATCGGCAAACTGCATGCGCCCACGTAGACGCTGGGCATTCTTGCTGCTAAGAGAGCCCGTCTCCAGCACCAAGGTCAGATCTGCACATAGCTCCTCCACTCTGTTGACCGTGTTGCAAACAAAAGCTGTAGCATGGACCGATCTGTCTAGCTTGAAGGCAACTCCTAAGGCCTCGCACATTTGCGCAAAAGGCATGCATTTGTCCCCTGACTCTGCAAATGCCCAACCCAACAATTTGAAGAGCGAGCAGGCTGCCATCTCGGTATTGCTTGCAAGACAGGGTTTGCTGAAACTGATAAAATCATCATAAAAAGAAGTCCACATGAATTGGCACCCGACAGTGCCTATCCACCATATTGCTCGTGAGAGCCTAAGAAAAGAGTGCACACTCCTGATTGCACCAAAAGGTAGCACCACACTGCGAAACAGCCGCACTTTGCCAACTGAAGGGTCAAATACCCTCAAGCAAGAGAAGTTTCGGCCATCTGGACTCAGGCCAACCTGCCTGTACGCACTCTTCAAATCAAACGTCCTCGCCAATAGCTCAGGCGACGCCTTTGCCGCCACACATGCATGAAACCAAAGCACCAAAACCGCACATGCAATATCAACCGTGTGCAAAAGAGGTGATTCCACTGCAGTCACGCAGGAGTTAACTCCCGACTCAGAATAGTCATCAATGAGCCTCAATTTCCCTTTCTTCTGCAAAAGCCCAAAGCGCCTGGAAATAGGCTGCCAATCCGGAACTTCTTCACTCGCCAGCGGCCCAATGAGCCAACCCTTAGAAACCTCTTCCATTGTTTTCTCCCAAAATTGGTTGTCCACGTCTTTGTCACCCGAGCCTTGTCGATCGTTCTCAACTTTGCTCCTGATTCTCTTTGAACTGCAAGAAAGCTCATCCACTGTTGAGAGGGCCGGGACTAATTTCCCTGGCAGCATTCCAGTCGAAGCAACTTCGCCTACCAAATTTGCCCCATACTTGAGCTCGTCCACGACCGACAAGTCAGGAAACTTCGTTTCAACCAGCATCTCTTCAAAAAACAAAATGCGCTTTGTCGCAACAGCCTTGGCTACCACCGGGTCCATGGAGCCCTTCAGCGCGGCTTCAGCTGACATCAGTTGTTTTGCTCTGGCTGTCCACTTGGAAAGAAACTTTGTGCGCCTCAATGCTATTTCATGATCGCTGCAGTTCAAGTTGAAATGTATAGCATCCACAAGCGGCCTAGGCACTACTTCCTCGACAGAAAGAGGGTGTCTTGCCTCCAAAGCTTTGCGCACAAATTCCTCTTCACTCCATAGACGTCCAAACAGTTGCAACTCTACCACACAAGGAAAAATTAAACAATCAAGCTGGGAGAAAGCCACATCGAAATGCCATTGAATGCATTGCGTTTGCAAGGCCAACGTCAACTGCTGCATGTCGTCACCCCCCAGCTTAGCAGTATGCAGCAGTTTTGCTGATGTCATATCCAGTGTAGAGCTTGGCCAAATTTGCACATCATTGTGTAAAATTCTGATAAATTTAGCTTTGAAATCAGGCAAAAAGGTTGCCACCTTATTGGAAGGTGGTTGATTGTCCGCAAATGCTCGAGCAGCCAAATTGGAACTGACCCCAAAATGGGGTTGTAAACCCTTTCTTCTAAAAGCCGCTGCAAAGGCGGAGGCTATTGCATCACACAGATTTGTAGGGTAGTGGACCTCGAGCGCCGTTGCGAAGACTCGGCGATTGTCAAGCTGTTTTCTGCCCCATGGTTCATGAAAGTGATCACCAGGGCAGACCAAATTCACGGCAGCTATTTCTGGAAAATTGCCCAGAAGTTTTGTCCATTTGGGTCTCTTAGAACCATAAGCACAAGCTTGATGACACTGCTCCACATCTTGAGCGGTGTGCTGTCTGTCCATCCAGGGTGTTGTCAGCCAGAAAAGAGAATCGCGAGGGTTCTCGCACGCACAAATTTTTTCCAAGCTTCGTGCAAAGGTCTTGGCATGCTGCTGTGAAATCATACAAAATATTGGCTTGGCTCACACGCAAAAAATCCAATTCAGTCAAATCAGGCAGCACATCTGGCTCCTCCCAAGATCGAAGCGGCTGAGGAAGATCAGGTTCAGCCGGATCTTGTATGTTTCGTGCAAGGCTGGCGGTGCCGCAGGGAGGCGCAAGAAACACGCCGTGAACTTGTGGCAAGGAAATCCAATCGAAGACCAATTGCTGGTTGCAGGCCTGAGTCAAATCTAATTTGGTAATCATCACCTTGGGTGACTTTGGCAAAAACTTGTCCACCGCTATGATGTCAAAGCCCAGCTTCTTGAAGGCTGCACTTACACCTGCAGTTCCGCAAAAAATCTCAAGTACTACAACATGAGACGCACTTTGAATTGTTGAAGGTGTCGCTGCTAGTCACTCATTGGCAGCGGGTATCTCACTCTGATGTGCATCCTTGTAGGCATGCGTTTTGAAGCATCCTCCCTTGAAACAAACGTGTCGCCCCTTAGGGCATGAGCCACCCACCGGCGCTTTTGTGCAACTGCTGAGGTTGAAGTCGAAGCATATGGGCCTGTTCTTCGCATCACGGCCCACACAACCTGCATACCCTTTTGGTGCAGCATTTGAACCGGAGGACTTGTTCTTACCTCCTTTGTGTTTTCCTTTGCCCTTCTGATATGGACCAGAACCAGAGGAGTGCTCAGTGAAAGCCTTCTTTGGTCCAAAGGGGGTGTCCTCCTTAGCAACATGCTTTGGCAGCGGCACCAAATGAAATGCCGTGTTGCAATCTCTGAGAGCATCTTCCAAAGCTGCATCTAGAGGACGCACAAGGTTCACGCCAGGGCGGATGTCAGCCACGTTGTGTGCAAGGTAGGAAAACACCTCGCGATCTGCACGCATGACTTGTGCTAAAGTTGTACTCTGAAAACCAATGGGAGGCTCCGAGGTGAGATGCTTCATCAAACGCTCCACGTATAATTCATGCGCCCTAAAAGAGATTAGGTTGCTGAATTCATACGCTAATCCTCTCCTACGCAGGCACATGGAGAGGTGGAAAGTTGTAGATACAGCTTCGTCAGGGACCGTCTTCGATTCCTTGACTGAGAGGCTTCCAGCATCCA